TCACCTCCCTCATGCCTCCCATTCCTTCACCTTGATTAGAATCCGTAACACATCACCTGGGCACACAAAGCCCCTTATCCTACCTACTCTTCCTTTTTGCACCAGGCTGGCAAAGCCCATCTACATTAAGTCCAAGTCTTCGCCTGCTCCAGGTCTGCACTTAAGCACACGAACGCAGCCAGAGAAAACCACAAGGCCATGTTCCTACTACAATGCGTGGGCCAGTTACTTTTGCACCCTTCTAAATAACCAGAATTATCTCACATCTGTTCTCCCCTATGCTTTCCTTACTCAAATCTAGTAGTTCTTAAAGTGTTTGGGACTCTGGGGCTGGCGCTGTGGCATAGCAGGTAAAGCCGCTGCAGAGTGCCTGCATCCCATATGGGCGCCGGTTCAAGTCCCAACTGCTCCATTTCTGATCCAGCTCCCTGCTAATGTGCCTGGGAAAGCAGTGGAAGATGGCCCAAGTGCTTGGGCCACTGAATCCAAATGGGAGACCCAGAAGAAGTTCCTGATTCCTGGCTTTGGATCAGCTTAGCTCCAGCCATTGCTACCGTTTGAGTGAACCAGCTGATGGAAGACCTCTCTCTCTCTCTCTCTTTCTCTCTCTCTCTCTCTCTCTCTCTCTCTCCCCCCTTCACCTCTGTAACTGTTCCTTTCAAATAAAAAAATCTTTTAAAAAAAGGTTTGGGGGGCCAGCACTGTGGCGTAGCAGGTAAAGCTGCCACCTGCAGTGCCGGCATCCTATATGGGTGTCAGTTCAAGTCCCAGCTGCTCCACTTTTGATCCTGCTCTCTGCTATGGTCTGGGAAAGCAGTGGAGGATGGCCCAAGTCCTTGGGCCCCCGCATCCGTGTGGGAGACCTGGAAGAAGCTTCTGCCTCCTGGCTTCAGATTGGCGCAGCTCCAGCTATTGTGGCCATCTGAGGCGTGAACCAGGGGATAGAAGACCTCTCTCTCTCTCTCTGTAACTCTCTTTTCAAATAAATAAATAAATCTTTAAATAGTTTGGGACTCAAGAACCCTTCAAATGCTTGAAATTTGAGAATCTTAAAGAATTATTATTTATATGGATTACATCTCTTGCTGTGTATTATATTAAAATTAAAGCTATTTATTGTCTTAAAATTAAACTTCACAGTTGAAGACTGTATTCCATATCAGAGTGCCTGGATTCAAGTCTTGTTTAGTTTTCTTTTTTTTTTTTAAGATTTATTTATTTATTTATTTTTATTTAAAAGGCAGAGTGATAAAGATAGGGGAAGAAGCAGAAAGACAGACAGAGAGAGAGAGAGGCCAGTGCTGTGACACAGCGGGTTAAAGCCCTGGCCTGAAGCGCTGGCATCCCATATGGGCACCGGTTCTAGTCCTGGCTGCTCCACTTCTGATCCAGCTCTCTGCTATGGCCTGGGAAAGCAGTGGAAGATGGCCCAAGTCCTTGGGCCCCCACACCCATGTGGAAGACCTGGAAGAAGCTCCTGGCTCCTGGCTTTGGATCGGCTCAGCTCCGGCCGTTGCGGCCATTTGGGGAGTAAACCAGCTGAAGACCTCTCTCTCTGTCTCTACCTCTCTCTGTAACTCTGTCTTTCAAACAAATAAAATAAATCTTTAAAAAAAATAAGAGAGAGAGAGATCTTCCATCTACTGGTTCACATCTTAACTGGCCACAATTGCCGGGGCTGGGCCAGACAGAAGCCAGGAGCCTAGAATTCCATCTGGGTCTTTCACATGGATGGCAGGGGTCCAAGTACTTGGGCCATTTTCCACTGCTTCCCATGCATATTAGCCAGGAGCTGGATTAGAAACAGCAGATAAGAACTGGTGCTCAGATATGGGATGATAGTGTTGAGCCACTATGTCAGCCCCCAGCTCTGCTTTTGATTCCAGATTCCTGCTAATGTTCACTTCCGAGGCAGCAAGTCATAACTCAAGTAGCTGGGCTCCTGCCACCCATATGGGAAGCCTGGATTGAATTCCTGGCTCTTGAATTTGTCTTGGCCCAGTCCCTGACCAACATGGGCATTGAGAAATGAACCAACAGATGAAAGTTCTCTGTCTCAGTCTATCTGTCTGCATCTCAAATAAATAATCTAATTTTTTTAAAAATTAAAGCTGGGGGGCCAGTGTTGTGGCATAGCAGGTTGGGCTATCTCCTGTAATGCTGGCATCCAACATAGGCGCCGGTTCCAGTCCAGCTGCACCACTTCCGATCCAGCTCCCTGATAATGTGCCTGGGAAAGCAGTGGAGGAAGGCCCAACTCCTCGGGCCTCTGCATCCACATGGGAGACCCAGAAGAAGCTCCTGGATCCTGGCCTTGGACTGGCCCAGCTCCAGCCTTTGTGGGCATTTGGGGATTTAATCAGTGGATGGAAGATCTCTCTCTCTCTCTCTGCCTCTCCCTCTCTGTAACTCTGCCTTTCAAAAAAAAAAAAAAAACTTAAAAAACAAATCTTCTTCATGTTTGGTTTATGAAATGACAACTGGATTCTCATATCTGCTTCTGTATTCAGATCTTACAATATATAGTTTTGGATGACGTATACCATGAAAATTTTGGCCTCACACAGACAAAGGTAAGTTGTTGGGAAAGAATTCTTGGGTGATACAAGACATTTTTCTTTGGTATTAAACATAATTTTAAAGAATATTTTAAAAAAGTGTTTATTTGGGCTGGCTCAAAGCCGGGAAATGGATAATTTAGATCTCCCACATGAGTGGCAGGAACTCAGTTACTTGTACCATCACTACTGCCTCCCAGGGTCTGCATGGTGGGAAGCTGGAGTCAGGAGCCAGGAACTGAACCCAGGCCATCTTAATGTCTAGACTAAATGCCTACTTCACGATAAATTAATTTTGACAAGTAATAATTTTTGCAAGGTTACTTGCAATTTGGATTTTGAAACATTATCAATCTTTTTTTAAAAAAATTATTTTTATTTATTTGAAAGAGTTACAGAGGTAGAGTCAGAGAGTGAGAGTTCTTCCATTCTGCTGGTTCACTCCCCAAATGACTGCAACGACCAGAGCTGAGCCGGTGTGCTGCACAGATTCAAAGTCAGGAGCCAGGTGCTTCCCCTGGTCTCCCATGCAGGTGCAGGGCCCAAGCACCTGGGCCATCCTCCACTGCACTCCCGGGCCACAGCAGAGAGCTGGACCGGAAGAGGAGCAACCGGGACAGAATCTGGCACAGGGGCCCAATTTTAAAAATCATGTCCATTAGTATCACCACTGACCTCACCTTCAAGTATTGGAAAGCTGTTCAAGTTCATAGTGGTGGATACAAGCTTTCCAGAGCTCTAAGTTGTGCAGCAAAGCTTGGATTTTATTGTAACTCCTGTTGAACAGACTCATTTCATTCACTTGTTAGTGTCTGCCGAATACCCACATATGAATCACCCAGGTTGCTCTGTCAGTCTTTCCTTCACCTGGTGTTCCCTGGGGGGAGGGGCCCAGCTGGCTCTCGTTTCGGACTCAAGAGGACCAGCCAAGTGCTCTGTGGCACTTCCCATTCAACATGGAATCCAAAAAGACATCTACTCTAGGGATGATATTTTATGACTAACGATTTTTACTTCTTTCTCAAAGATGCTCTTGAAATGTTCTTTCTTCCCCTGCAAGTGCTTAGTGGTGAAGGGTATAAAGACTGCTAGCACAGTTCGGCACCTCTGGCTCGATTCATGCTGAGATACCTGCAGTTTCACCCAGCATTTGCTTTTGCACCGATAATGCAAATATTAACACAATTGGTACAGAATAAATAGGCAGTTTAAGAAATGTATTTAACACTTTGAACATGTCTGCACTACTTGTGTTATTGCAGTTACATAAAGGAAGATCGCTGAAGATTTGTTGGTGCTGAAGCGGAACAGATAGAAGCAAAACTGCAAGTCCAGGCCCACGTGTTGATCTGTCACTTTAAGGCAAACGTTCCAATCCACAGAGGTGATATTAACGCAGGGTTCACGTTTGCAGCTAACTCTGCTTTGAGTCACTGCATCATTGAAAAGTGGCAATTCTGTAATTTCTTTCTCTGCCTTCGCCCAGCAGTCATTCAGCAATGTCATCACACATGGGGTTATTCAGTTCTCCCTGCCGATGTGTGCACTTCCCAGGCAATGCTGTATGGTGACTCACCTTGTAAGGTGCTCCAGTAACTTTTTCATTTCTGGTCTGAAAAGCTGCCATAAACAACTAGTGGATTATAAAGAATTCATCAGATCTATGTTCAAAATATTCAGTTCATTTTTTTCACACTCTAGGACTAGCCCTAAGATGACACTATAATTTGGCTGCCACCACAAACCTACAGGAAAATATTCTGTTGCTTCAGAAATAGTAAAGTAGACATATAGCTCTTAGAGAAGGAAGCTCTTGTCATATTTTTTATTTCTTATGTTTATTTTTTACATTTATTTTCATGTATTTGAAAGGGGGAGAGAGAGAGAGAGAGAGAGAGGGAGAGAGAGGGGGAGAGAGAGAGCGAGAGAGATCTTTCACCACTGGTTCACTGCCCAAATGCGTGCAGCATCCAGGACTCGTGGGTGTCGTGAGTCCGAGCACTTGAGTCATCATGTGCTGCTTTCCAGGATGCATTAACAGAAAGTCTGCTCGGAAGTGGAGCAGCCAGAATGCAACTGAGGGGCTCCCATGTGGGAGGCAGGCATCCCCAGTGGCAGCCTAACCCACTGTGCCCACAACACCTGCCTTCGTATTTTTCTTACTTACAGTTTTTCCAGTGTCTTTGGAATAGACGCCTGCCTTCCATAAGTTAGAGAACTCTCTGACATGTCAATTTCATGTTTTTATATAGATGTGGACTATACAGCTTTAGGCTGAGAAGGTGAAGTTTTTTTTTTTTTTAATTTTCCCTTTTAAAGATTGTCAAAAGTCTTAAATATAATGAAGATATACTTTAAATAAATTCCTTATGCTTTGAAATAAGATAACAAATTTTAAAGTGACTTTGGATGTTTAAAAATTTGGAAAAGTTTGGGAAAAAATAAATATTATTGCAAAACAAGACAAAAACTGTACTGTCTGTGTTTTGGTCACCTACCATTGCTTCCTTAGCCCGTGAGAGTCTTGAGGCTCATTTCTATGTTGGGTCATGCTATCTTCAGATGTATTTTGTTCCTCAAGGGCTCATGAGTTGTAAGCTTGGCCTCCAGGATGCAGTATTAGGGAGTGAGAGTGGTGTGGAATCATTAGAAGGCTGTGGGAGTCCTGGGGCACTGCAGACATGCCTTCTGTGGGATTATGATAGCCCTCCTGGGACCCCTGAGGTTGTCCTCACAGAAGCGTTGCTATTTAGAAAAAAATAATAAAATAAAACCTGGCTACTCCCCAGGCTTCTGGCTTCTGGTCTGGATTCTGCCCTTCCGCAGGCACTCCTGCCATTGTGGTACCACACCATGAGATCCTCATCAGAACTGAACTGATGTCAACATCTGACCTTGCACCTCCGTAACTGTGAGCTAAATGAACCTCTTTTCTTTATAAAGCTACCCAGCCTCCAGTATTTCATTACGGTAACATAAAGCAGACTAATACAGCTCACCTCTTCCCTCCAGACCTCTCGGGCACCTCTGGAATGACTCAGCTCTGGCTCTCGTTCTCATGTGTCCACTGAGAACATTCATCTTCTCCCTAATGAATGAACTCCATCCCAACAATGCCCCTCTCGTTATCCCAACCTCAAAGCGAGCAGCTGGCAGGCTTCCCCTTCATCTTTCAGCGTAAGAAGAAAGCTGGTTTGGTTTTCTGTGTGACCTGATTAAGGTACCTTTCCTGAGACTTGAGGGGAGGCAACTCTCATTCTTCCTCCCGAAACTCATAGCCACAGACAAATTTCTCTAATATCTGCACAGTTACTCATCCCTAACAGTCAGAAAGCATAAAGATTCCTGCTCCCAGGGAGCTCATCTTCTGATGCACAGCAGTAGACAAATTCAAGACAATAAATCCTCTTCCCATCTTTAACCATGGTCTCTTCAGCCTGTTTTATAGGCTTAAGGGATGTGGTAAGCTTAAAGCTGCTAAACCAATTCTCTGACACCTTTGCAGAATTTTTTAAAAAGACTATCTATTTGTCTGAAAGACAGAATTACAGACAGACACACAGAGAGACAGAGATAGAGAGGCCTTCCATCCACTGGTTCACTCCCTAAATGGCCATGATGGTGGAAGCCAGAAGCTTAGAACTCCATCCAGGTCTTCCGGATGGGTGGCAGGGGCCCAAGCACTTGGGCCATCATCTGCTGCTTTCCCAGGTGCATTAAGAGGGAGCTAAATTAAAAGAGGAGCAGCAAGGACTTAAACTGGTGCTTATACGGGATGGTGGTGTTACAGGCAACAGTTTAACCCACTGTGCCGCCTGAACCCTTGCAAATTCTTCAAGGGGGCCTGCCGCCATAGAATGTGGGCATCTGTTCTCTTGGAGCCTCAGATAACGTGAAGAACCACCCAGTAATAACACCCCATTACCACTGTACCTAGAACATTACCTGGAACACACGCTCCAGGAACTGAGTCACTGAGGAGTTCCTTCTAGGTCTGGAAAAGCCAAGCTCTTTGCCACTGTCAGCAGTCATCACCATCCGCACTGCATTGAAGGAACTCTGTCCCCAGCTCTCCCCAAACTGCCAGGTTAGGCTAGAGCAAGGGGCAGCAAGGGTGCTGTGATCCCAGTCCTTACGCCCTCCTCGGCTTCAAACGAGTGACAACGAACAAAAGAAGCCTTTTTTTTTTTTTTAATGATAAAGGTATAGTCACTCTCAAAACGAGAACAAACAAAAATACCTTTTAGTCCATTTGAGCTGCTCAAACAAAATATCTTAGACTGGATGAATTATGAACAACAAATCATTTCTTTCTGGAATGGGTTTTTAGCCTGTTGGTTAAGACACCACCATCTCACATTAGAGCACCTGGGTTCAGTACTCAGTTCCAGCTCCTGACTCCAGTTTCCTGCTAATGCAGACCCTGGGAGGCTATGGCGATGACTCACATGATTAGGTCCTTGCCATCCTCGTGGAAGACCTGGATTGAGTTCCCATTCCTGACTTCAGTCCCAGCCCAGCCCTGGCCATTACCAGAATTTTTGGAGTGAGGCAATATATGGGAACTCTATCTGCCTCTGGTTCTCTCTCTCTCTTTCTCTCTCTCCTTCACTTTCTCTGCCTCTCAAATTTTTTTTTTTTTTTTTTGACAGGCAGAGTGGACAGTGAGAGAGAGAGACAGAGAGAAAGGTCTTCCTTTGCCGTTGGTTCACCCTCCAATGGCCGCTGCAGCCGGCGCGCTGCGGCCAGCGCACCGCACTGATCCGATGGCAGGAGCCAGGAGCCAGGTGCTTTTCCTGGTCTCCCATGGGGTTCAGGGCCCAAGGACTTGGACCATCCTCTCTGCCTCTCAAATTTTAAAAACATATAAAGTTTATTCCTCACAGTTCTGGCAGCTGAGAAGGCCAAGCTCAAGGCACCTGCAGATTCAGAGAGTGGCAAGAACCCTTGACTTTAAAGGCAGCAGCTTCTTGCTGGGGCCTCACATGGTGGGAGGGGCAGACATGCTCTCTCCAGCCAGTTTTGTAAGAGCATTATTCCCATTCATCAGCACTCTCAGGATCTATTCCCATCCTGCCGCCTCCACCTGTTAATACTATCATGTTTGGGGGCCAGCACTGTGGTGCAGTGGGTAAAGCTGCCGCCTGCAGTGCCGGCATCCCATATGGGCTCCAGTTCTAGTCCCAGCTGCTCCACTTCTGATCTAGCTCTCTGGTATGGCCTGGGAAAGCAGTGGAAAATGGCCCAAGTCCTTGGGCCCCTGCACCCACGTGGGAGACCCAGAAGGAGCTCTTGGATCCTGCCCATGTGGCCAATTGGGGAGTGAACCAGTGGATAGAAGACCTCTCTCTCTCTCTCTCTGCCTCTCCTTCACTCTGTGTAACTCTGTCTTTCAAATAAATAAAATAAATCTTAAAAAAAAAAAAAAAGTTAGCTGAAGACATCAACAGGCCATCCATTGTGGAACGGCAGCTAGCACATTGTGTGAGTCTGGAGGTTAATCATTTCAGCTGCCCCACTGGAAGAGGTTAAAGAGGCGGAAATCACTGGCAGTACCAGAGCTCGTAGCATATACTGCAAAGAGAAAGTCACACTGGGGCTGGCGTTACAGTGCAGCAGGTGAAGCCACCATTGTGACACTCACAGCACGTATCAGAGCGCTGGTTGGAAGCCCAGCTATTCCACTTCCAATCTAGTCTCCTTCAAATGCATCTGGGAAGACAACTAAAAATGGCCCAAGTACTTGACCCCCTGCCATGCATATGGGAGACCAGGATGGAGTTCCTGGCTCCTGGCTTCACCCTGGCCCAGCCCCAGCCATTGTGACCATTTGGAACGGGAACCAATAAATGCAAGATCTCTGTCTCTCCCCCCTCTCTGATGCTCTGCCTTTCAAATAAATAAATAAATACTTAAAGATAAATTCATGCTGACTGGTCCTAAGATATCTATTGACTCAGTGACCAAATTTTGAATATTTTCAAATACCACTACTAGAACAAGTGTGATATAGAAAATAAAGTCAGGGGCTGGCGCTGTGGCATACCTGTGGTGCCAGCATCCCATATGGGCACCAGTTTGAGTCTTGGCTGCTGCACTTCCAATCCAGCTCCCTGCTAATGTCCTGGGAAAATGCCTGGGCCCCTGCACTCATGTGGGAGACCCAGAAGGAGCTCCTGGCTCATGGTTTCAGATTAGCCCATCTCTGGCCATTGCAGCCATTTGAGGAATGAATCAGTGGATGGAAGGTCTCTCTCTCTCTCTGTAACTCTGCCCTTCAAGTAAATAAATAAATCTTAAAAAAAATAAAGGAAGGAAGGAAGGAAAAGAAAAAAAGAAGAGAAAGGAAAATAAAATAGGGGGCCAGCATTGTGGCACAGTGGGTAAAACCACCACCTGGCTGGCATCCCATATGGGAGCTGGTTTGTGTCCTAGCTACTCCACTCCTGATCCAACTCCCTGTTAATGATCTGGGAAAAGCGATGGCCCAAGTGTACGGGCCTCTGCCACCTACATGGGAGGTCCTGATGAAGGTTCTGGCTGTAGCCTGACACAGCCCTAGCCATTTTGGCCATCTGGGGAGTGAACCAGCAGATGGAAGATATCTCTCTCTCTCTCTCTCTCTCTCTCTAATAAATAAATAATTTTTAAAGAAATAAGTCAAAGAAAGATCCTAGTGAATCTAAATAACAAAACATTTAAAAAAAAAAACACATTTTGGGCCAGCGCCTTGGCTCACTAGGCTAATCCTCCGCCTGTGGCAGCGGCACACCAGGTTCTAGTCCCGGTTGGGGTGCCGGATTCTGTCCCAGTTGCTTCTCTTCCAGTCCAGCTCTCTGCTGTGGCCTGGGAAGGCAGTGGAGGATGGCCCAAGTACTTGGGCCCTGCACCCGCCAGGAGACCAGGAGAAACACCTGGTTCCTGCCTTCGGATCGGCGCAGCGTGCTGGCCGTAGCGGCCATTTGGGGGTGAACCAATGGAAAAGGAAGACCTTTCTCTCTGTCTCTCTCTCTCACTGTCTAACTCTGCCTGTCAAAAAAAAAAAAAAGCACTTTATAATAAAGACATGTAACTAAAATTCAAGACAGCACTAACAGCAAGAATAAGCAGCCAAAACAAGATCCATATTTTGTTCAAGAGGAGTCTAAAGGCAGAAATGGAATAGCCTGAGACTTTGTAAGAAAAATGTGTAGCTATACATAAATGTTCAACATTAAAAGACATGATTGAAAGGACAGAAAACAGAATCTGTAACATTGAAACCAACAGATTAGAGAAGAGAAAACATCAATTCAGCAAAGGGACTTCTTGTAATGGCGTATAAAGGTTGACATCTTTCCCCTACTAAAAAGCACAACTGAACAAAATTGTAAAAACACAACATTTCAGGGCACTGTACATAAACCAAAAGTAGACGAGAAATGCAGAAGTATTTATCTGGGAGAAGCTGCTGGAGCTTTGGGTAGTAACAGCAGAGTTCTAGGCGTTCTCGCCTGGTATTGCCGCTATCCTGTCTCCCCTCCCCGTGACCACCCAAGCCGGCCACACAGACAAGATTACGCTTTTACCAGATTGGCCCAGCAGCAAAAAACAGCAGCTTCCCTGCCTAAACTGCACCTATAGCTGGCACATAGTATTGAGTTTCTTTTTGAAAGATCCATTTGGACCATCTCTGCTTTTTGATGGGAGTGTTAAGCTCATCCACATTTACCATATTATTTATTATTCATTTAGTTGGATTTATTTTTGCCATTTTGCTTTTTGTTTTCTATGTATCTCATTAAAAATTTTTAAAAATTTTTTGAGAAGCAGAGAGACATAGAGTAATGCCTGTGACAGCTGCAATTAGACAGGGCTGCAGCTGGGAGCCAGGAACTCAGTCCAGCTCTCCAACATTGTGGAAGGACCACAATTACTTGAGCCATCAACATTGTCCCTCCAACTAATTCACTTCCCCCAAAGACCTCACCTTTGGGTGTTGCCACTTTGGATTCAGTTCCAGCATTTGAATCTTGGAGGGACATGGACTTTTAAACCACAGAAGAAATCCTACACAACTTCTGTATTCTAAATATATTTTTCTAAATTTCTACATTAATCATTCTAAAGTCTTGAGAATTATGTTTTTGAATTGTGAGATATTACTTTTAATATTTAAAAACCATTAATACCATTAATTGAATACTTTATTGTAATGCCTCCCATGTCATGTTCTGAGGTCTGATATATGCAGTGCCTAGATGTATAGCAACTCTATTCTGACTCATTAATATATTTGCATACATCTAAACCATAGACAATCTAAGTGAATTGAACTTTGTGTCTCTCTTGTCTAACTGCCAGAAGCAGAAGTCAGAGTATGATTTAAATATTTATTACATTTACTGAGTAGTTCTGTGCTCTGTTTTGGTTTTGGCTAAAGTAAATTCAGGACCATTCTTCGCTAAAAGGAACAAGGGCTCTTGAGAGAATGGCTGACTTGAGGACTAGCTGAGAAAGCTCAGTCTGAGCCTGGAAAACCTTATTATGTCAGAGAGAAAGGAACGATTAAAAATATGGACCCATATGAAAAGATCCTGAGGGGCAGCTCAATCTGAGAGAACATGCATACCAAAAGTAATGATGTTAGGGGCCCGGCATTGTGGCATAGCAGGTAAAGCTGCCACCTGCAGTGCCAGCATCCCATATGGGAACCAGTTCAGGTCTTGGCTGCTCCACTTCCAATCCAGCTCTCTGCTATGGCCTGGGAAAGCAGTAGAAGATGGCCCAAGTCCTTGGGCTCTTGTTCCCGCGTGGCCAGGAAGAAGCTCCTGGCTCCTGGCTTTGGATTGGCTCAGCTCCGGCTGTTGCAGCCATTTGGGGAGTGAACCAGCAGATGGAAGACCTTTCTCTCTCTGTCTCTGCCTCTGCCTCTCTGTAACTCTGCCTTTCAAATAAGTAAATAGATCTTTAAAAAAAAAAAAAAAGTAATGATATTAAGGTGCGGGTGTTGTGGTATAGCAGGCAAAGTGCCCATCTCACAAGGGCACTGTTTTTGAGTCCCAGCTGTTCTGCTTCCAATCCAGCTCCCTCCTAATGGCCTGGGAAAAGCAGCGAAAAATAGCCCAAGTGTTTGGGTCCCTGCCCTCTATGTAGGAGACCAGGATGGAGCTCCTGGCTCCTGGCTTACTCCTGGCCCAGCTCTGGCAGTTGGGTAGTAAACCAGCAGATGGAAGACCTCTCTCTCTCTTCCTCTGTCTCTCTGTTCTCCCTCTCTCTCTGTAAATCTGATTCTCAAATAAATAAATAAATTTTTAAAAATTATATTAAGAGGCCAGCGCCGCGGCTTACTAGGCTAATCCTCTGCCTTGCGGCCCCGGCACACCGGGTTCTAGTCCCGGTCGGGGTGCTGGATTCTGTCCCGGTTGCCCCTCTTCCAGGCCAGCTCTCTGCTGTGGCCAGGGAGTGCAGTGGAGGATGGCCCAAGTGCTTGGGCCCTGCACCCCATGGGAGACCAGGAGAAGCACCTGGCTCCTGCCATCGGATCAGCGCGGTGCACTGGCCACGGAGGCCATTGGAGGGTGAACCAACGGCAAAAGGAAGACCTTTCTCTCTCTCTCTCTCTCTCACTGTCCATTCTGCCTGTCAAAAAATAAAAATAAAAATAAATGATATTAAGAGATTTATAACCCCATGTTATGATTTAACATAATTTTTCAAGTTTGTGTGAATATGAAACTTACATTAACACATAGAGAGGAAAGAAAGCAGTTTACTTACAATAGAATTTTTTTTTTTTACAGGCAGAGTGGACAGTGAAAGAGAGAGACAGAGAGAAAGGTCTTCCTTTTTGCCGTTGGTTCACCCCCCAATGGCTGCCGCGGCTGGCGCACCGCACTGATCTGAAGCCAGGAGCCAGGTGCTTCCCCCCATCTCCCAGGCGGGTGCAGGGCCCAAGCACTTGGGCCATCCTCCACTACACTCCCAAGCCACAGCAGAGAGCTGGACTGGAAGAGGAGCAACCAGGACAGAATCTGGTGCCCTGACCGGGACCAGAACCCGGGGCGCTGGCGCTGCAGGCGGAGGATTAGCCTAGTGAGCCGCAGTGCCGGTCACAATAGAATTTCAATTAACAGGAGCCAGAGAGGTGGCGCAGTGGGTTAATGCCCTGGCCTAAAGTGCCAGCATCCCTTATGGGCAACGGTTCGAGACCCAGATGCTCCGCTTCCTGTCCAGCTCTCTGCTGTGGCCCAGGAAAGCAATAGAAGATGGTCCAAGTCCTCTGCACCCACATGGGAGACCTGGAAGAAGCTCCTGGCTCCTGGCTGGCATCGGCACAGCTCCGGCCGTTGAGGCCATCTGGGGAGTGAACCATCAGATGGAAGACCTCTCTCGCACGCGCTCTCTCTCTCTCTCTCTCCTCTCTCTATGTAACTCTGACTTTCAAATAAATAAATAAATCTTTAAAAAAAAGAATTTCAATTAACAAATAAAATGAATGATAGAGTTAGAAAATCATGATTTGCCTAGTATCCTAGTCATAATTCAAGCAAGAATTGTCAATGGATATTAAAATTTGTGGGTGAAAATTTGATGAAATAGAAAAATTTACATAAATTCAAAATATCTGCCCATAAAATACTAGTCACAAAGGGGAAGGTAGTTAACTGTTCAGAAGCCATGGGCAGCAGACTCCAGCTTGTAACAATAGTGTTACAATGATGGAGCAGACTGACAGAGGTGCCTCCTGATGTGGTGCACTACACATGATACAATATTACTTTCTTGGCAGTTCTGCCAAAGATGTGAAATCTGAACCTACTCGTGAAGGAACATCAGATAAACCTGAATTAAAGGACATCCCACAGAACAACGGCCTATACTCTTCAAAAATGTCAAGGTCATGAAGGACCAAGAACGACTGAATGTGTTAGTCCATTTTACATTTCAATAACAAAATATTGGAGGCTGGGCACCTTACAGTGAAGGTTTATGTACATGGTTTTAGAGGCTGGGCACCTTACAGTGAAGGTTTATGTACATGGTTTTAGAGGCTGGAAGTCTACACAGCAGAGCACCAGCTCTGGCAAGGACCTCAGCACATGGTCTCATGATGGGAGCTCATGTGAAAGTGATCCCCAAAAATTATTTTTATTTTACTAAATAAGATTTTTAAAACAATTGCAAATGTTGCATAATATCTATAGACTAGATAATAGCATTGTCTTACTGTTTATTATTATTATTATTATTTTGACAGGCAGAGTGGACAGTGAGAGAGAGAGACAGAGAGAAAGGTCTTCCTTTGCCGTTGGTTCACCCTCCAATGGCTGCTGCAGCCGGCGTACCGTGCTGATCCGAAGCCAGGAGCCAGGTGCTTCTCCTGTTCTCCCATGCAGATGCAGGGCCCAAGGACTTGGGCCATCCTCCACTGCCTTGCCAGACCACAGCAGAGAGCTGTCCTGGAAGAGGGGCAATCGGGACAGAATCCGGCGCCCCAACCGGGACTAGAACCTGGGGTGCTGGCGCCGCAGGTGGAGGATTAGCCTATTGAGCCGTGGCGCCAGCCCGCATTGTCTTACTGTTAATCCCCTGATTTTGACACCTGTATGGTGGTTATTTCAGAAAATGTCTTTGCTCTTAGGAACTACATACTGAAATATTTAGCAGTAAAAGGACATCATGTCTAGAAGCTGCTTTCAAATCCATAAAAGCAAATTGGCAAATGTTAAGATTTGGAGATATGGTTGGTGGGTATCCAATAATTCTTGCTATGACTTTTGAAACTTTTTTAAAAGTTTGAAATGATTTCAAAACAAAAACTTATCAAAAAAAAAAAAAACAATGCATTTTCATTCCTACTAAAATCTCAGTTTTTAAAATGTGAGCCTTAGTTATGTATTTAATTACCATCTGGGATCTTAATGGTTTTATTCAGCACATATTTTTGGCATCTGTTATGTGCTAGAGTCCAGGGACATAGTAAACTAGAAAAAATCAGTCATGCCCATGTGAAGTTACAACCTAGAGGGCAAACAATTATTGAAAATAATCACATAGATGTATCATGACCTGGCCCCTTGCTGCAACCTGTGTACCTGCCAGTCTCGCTCTGCGCACACTGTGTTGTATTCCTGCCTTGTGATAATATAGACACAATCTCACTGGTTCCTCCTGAACGTCCTTTGTGTCTCACAACAGAGGCACAACCACAGGATGCCATAAAGAGTCCACCCAACTCATTTGTTCTTCCAGGCTGTGTTTCTGTTTGGAGGGAAGGGAATCATGGGAAAGGGAAATGGTGGTGGCTGTTATTTTGTAAGCGAATGCACTTTCCCTCTCGAAAAGCAGTCAGTTCTGTTGCAGAAGCAGGGAACATTATTCAAGCCTCCTGTTCATTACTGAGATATGCATCTAAGGAACTTCGGGCCATGTTCTGGGGCGGCTCTGAAAATCTGAACAAAAAGGAGTTTGTTACAGGACTCACAAGGGTAGTTCTGAAAGCTTCATTAATTCTAATAAAAATTTCCAATTAATTCATTAGTCATTTCCTGTTTCCTGAAATCATTGATTTTCAAATCAGTTGCCTTTTATATTAGCTGACATTAGAATGCTATGGCTTTAACTGATTCAATGTAAGCTAAACTTTTAGCCGTTTATCAAAATACAAAACCGAAGGCTGGTCCCAGCCTTGGGGTGAGTAATTTGCAGGAATAGTCTTCACCTATACAGGCTGTGGGATGGGGGTTGGGGGGGCAGGTGTTCTTACACTCCCAGGAGACTAAGGATCCAGTGGTGAACAGCATTTCAAGAGAGGGGATGTCAGTAATAAGGCTGTAACGGGAACACATTCAAACTTGTGCAACTCAACCTGTCCAGTGTAGATACAGCTCTGGCAAGGGGCAGGGGTGGGGGGATTGCAGGATGCAGGAGATGGAATGAGGCAGTGTGGTGTGGAGTTTTGTAGGGAGCGGCTGTTCTGGAAGCTTCCATCTGGCCCTGATGACCTTCTTAACTGCTGAGGTCACTAGTGGCCCCTCACTCTGTGTCTGGGGTACATCTCCACCATAGGGTGCTGTCTCCTTTCTCAGACATGGCCTCCTAGGCCATGTCCTGCCTTGGCGATTGCACTGCAAAGCTATTCTGGAAGCAGTTGGTGCTGCCAGACCCCTTGGCCCAGTCAGCCATCACACATACTTTTTAGCTCTTGGAGGCAAGTATGTCTCCGTTTTTAGAAAACTACACATGGAAATACTTCAACCCACAGGCTAATAAACTGAGAACTGAGACTCTATTCTATAAAAGGATTTCCAAGAAAATCCTTCTGAAACCCGAGCTTTCCTGATAGGCCGAGACAGATTGACCACGAAGCCAACAACGCTTAAACTGAAAGTGCCCACATAATTGTTGAAATCTTTACTTAATATAAGAGTTGTTCTTCTGTGTACAAAGTTAATCAAAAATGGATCTTAGTGGGGAATGGGACTGGGAATGGGAGAGGGAGGAGGAGGAAGAGTGGGAGAGTGGGTGAGAGGGTGGGTATGGTGGGAAGAATCACTATATTCCTAAAGTTGTACTTAGGAAATGCATGAAGTCTGTACTCCTTAAATGAAAGGTTTCTTTGAGGGAGAAATAAATTTTAAAAAAGCACCCATATTTGCAGGCCCCTTCCAAGGCCACAGGAAGGTCCCCAACCTGCTAACATGGCCATGTGCTTTTCACAAGTTTTTTAAAGTTCCATATTTTACCTGGAACTGGTTATAGCTACTGTCTCTTTCTACTAGGACTTCCCCTCCATGATACTTTCCCTATGCACATGGTTTTGGGGTGAGCCAAGTAAAGGGAGCATGAGTTGAATCTAGTCCCATTGAGTCTGGGTTTAGTAAAACATCTACATGTGGCTCGAATTCACTTTGGTACTTGGCTCAGTGAGTACTAGACACTTTGGTATAGGGGGGTCCCTGCCAACTACATATGGAGCCCCTTAGAGCTCGACAGGAAGAGGCAACATTCATCAGCACCTGAGTAACAGACAAGAAACAGGTTCGAGGGAAGACTGGCTTCCTTGGTGGGCCAGGCAAGACCCAGCTAGGGCCAGGCCCTTGGAGAGAGGGAAGTTCTTTCCAGCCAAGTCTCATTCTCTCTATCAAGGAAAGCCCTTGTCCGTTATGTGTGAGGTTCTAGAAGCTTCTTTCCACTCAAAGACGCAGAAAGCTCTTTTGTCTCCCCTTAACTGGAGTGAGGTGGAATCTACCCCAAGCAGGGCTCTAGGCCAGGCTGGCAGAGATCTCCACTCACCCTCTCAAGGCTGGAGAAGACACATTTCTGAAAAATTTAATTTGTTATGATGAAGTATTTAAATATATTGAGGGATCTCAAGTCTTTTTTATATATAAAGTTTTTAAAATTTATTTGAAATGCAGAGTTACAGAGAGGGAGAGATGAGAGAGGAAGAGAGACAGAGAAAGAGAGAGAGAGAGAGAATCTTCCATTCTCTGGTTCTCTCCCTGTAAGGCCAAACCAGCATGACTGGGCCAGGCTGAAGCCAGGAGCCAGAAGCTTCTTCCAGATTGCTGATGCGGGTGCAGGGGCCCAAGCACTTTAGCTATCTTCTGCTGTTTTTCCAGGCACTTTAGTAGGGAACTGGATTGGAAGTGGAGCAGCTGGGACACAAACTGGCACCCATGTGGGATGTCAGTGTCACAGGCAGTGGCTTAACCTGCTACGCCACAGCACCGGTCCCAGATTTTCAGTTTTTAAAAGGATCTCAGGGAGAATCTTGCTATAAAAATGAATTCTTGCTTACAGATTATTTTAAGCTCTGGAGTTACAAATAATAGCACATATACTTTGCACAATTGCTTCATGGCAGGCACTGCGTCAACTATGTTTAGTGTGCATTGTTTCATCTTTGTACTAACCCAATGAGGGCATCATTATTATTATTCTAATTTTATTATTTTTAAAATGTTGTTTGTTAGGGGGCCTGCATTGTGGTGTAGTGGGCTGGGCCTCCACTTGCATATGGTTATTGGTTCTAGTCTCTGCTGCTCCTCTTTTGATCGGCTGTCTGCTGTGACCTGGGAAGGCAGGGGAGGACAGCCTTGGTGTTTGGCCCCCTGCACCCATGTGGAAAGCCCAGAGGGGGCTCCTGGCTCCTGGCTTCTGATTGGCCCAACTCTGACCATTGCGACCATTTGCAGAGTGAACCAGTGGATGGAGGACATTTCTTTCTGTCTCTCTCTCTCTCTCTCTCTGTGACTCAATCTCTCAAATAAATAAGTAAAATCTTAAAAAGTTTTTTTGTTTACTTATTTAATAGGCAGAGAGAAAGAGAGCTTGCACTTGCTGGTTCATTCCTCAAATATTCACAATGGTCCCCATCTGGGGCTGAAGCAGGGAGCTGAAAACTCAATGCAGGTCTCCCACCTGGGTGACAGGAACCCAATCACCTGAGCCATTGCCACTGCCTCCAACGTACGCATTAGCAGGAAGCTGGCGTCAGGATCTGAGCCAGGTGTTGGACCCAGGCACTCTGATATGGTATGAGTCTTAACACCTAGACCAAGCGCCTGCCACAAGAATCCCAGTTTTAGAGGAGAGCCAGCTGAGGTTTGTCAGGGTTATGTAACCTACTGAGGGCTTCTCATTTCTGAAGTGGCAGAAGCAGCCTTCACAAGTTATACTCTTTTGAGTTTTAGAGATTGTTTTTAAATTAATTCAATATTGGGGCCGGCACTGTGGCATAGCAGATAAAGCCACCACCTGCAGTGCCAGCATCCCATCTAGGCACCAGTTCAAGTCCCGGCTGCTCTACTTCCAATCCTGCTCTCTGCTATGGCTTGAGAAAGCAGTGGAGGATGGTCCAGGTCCATGGATCCCTGCATCTGTGTGGGAGACCTGGAGGAAGCTCCTGGATCCTGCCTTCAGATTGGCACAACTCCGGCCGTTGCAGCCATCTGGGGAGTGAACCAGTAGATGGATGATCTCTCTCTCTCTCTCTCTTTCTGTCTCTCTCTCTTCCTCTCTGCCTCTGTCTCTCTGTAACTCTGCCTTTCAAATAAATAAATCTTTATAAAAATTAATTCAATATTATCTTTTTTATTTTTTGACAGGCAGAGTGGACAGTGAGAGAGAGACAGAGAGAAAGGTCTTCCTTTGCCATTGGTTCACCCTCCAATGGCCGCTGTGGCTGATGCGCTGCAGCCGGCGCACCGCGCTGATCCAATGGCAGGAGCCAGGCGCTTCTCCTGGTCTCCCATGGGGTGCAGGGCTCAAGCACTTGGGCCATCCTCCACTGCACTCCCGGGCCACAGCAGAGAGCTGGCCTGGAAGAGGGGCAACCGGGACAGAATCCGGCGCCCTGACCAGGACTAGAACCCGGTGTGCCGGTGCTGCAAGGCGGAGGATTAGCCTGGTGAGCCGCGGCGCCGGCCTCAATATTTACTTAAATTGTAAAATGCAAACACAGTTCTAAAGTCCAACCTATTAAAAAGTGAAGTCCCTGTTCTTTTTCCCTACATACTATTTCCTCCTGCCCCCATAAGTAATCTTTTTAATGGTTTATCCACCAGTTTTCTTAATTTAAGCAAATATCTTTCATGGAGAAATGGTAGCATACTCTCTCCCCTTTTCTCCACCTGGCTTAATTTAAAGAAAATGAAACTCAATTATTCACTTGAATCTAATTGTGTACAATTGAAGCCATAATGATATGGAGAAATATTATTCTAATGTGGCTTTTTTTAAAAGATTCATTTTACTTATTTGAAAGGCAGCGTTACAGAGAGGCAGAGGCAGAGAGAAGGAGAGGTCTTCCATCTGCTGGTTCACTCCCCAGATGGCTACAATGGCTGGAGCTTTGCTGGTCCAAAGCTAGGAACCAGGAGCTTCCTCCAGGTTTCCCCTGTGGGCACAAGGGCCCAAAGACTTGGGCCATCATCTACTACTTTCCCAGGCCATAGCAGAGAGTTGGATCAGAAGTGGAGCAGGCGGGACTTGAACCGTTGCCCATATGGGATGCCAGCACTGCAGGTAGAGGCTTAGCCTACTATGCCACAGTGCAGGCCCCCATTCTCTGCTCCCTTTAAAGTGTCACCCTTAGAGATACTTAACAAGAAGTTTTAACTGAAGGAAAATTGTCTCATAGGTAACTCTGGTGGGTGGGGCACCTGCGTATCCCCTTCAGGAGGGGCTGGGGCCCCCAGCTGGGGCAGGAGCTCTCAGTAGACAGTTGATGACCCTATAAGAGACTGTCTTGGTGGTGGAGAGACAGCCTCTCCAAGGCCAGCCCCTGCCAGGGGCAGCTCCCACCCAGTATGGAGGCCTACGCATTCTGAGTCAAGGCAGGACAACCCTGAGGGGCCACTTCAGCCCTGGAGTGCCTGGTGGGAGCAGTGGAGGATGCTGGGCCCACATCACAACTTGACATCTCCTGTCTACTCCTGGTTCCTTCCTTTCCTTCTCCCAGGTATTGCTCCTGAGGGTTCTCCCAGCACATATCCACAATGCTGTACTTTGTATCAGAGTTTGCTTCTTGAAGAACTTAAGTGACAACAGCAAGGACACATTGAAACTCCTGGCTTTCCCAGCAGCTGAGCTGCTTTAGTAAGGCCTTAGTCATTCAGGTCTTTGATTGGTAGCCTGAAACACTGAGGTTTTCTTGAAAAACTTTTGAGTGACCTATACTTCAAAGAAGTTGACTGGGGCAAGCACTGTGGCACAGCAGGTTAGGCTGCTACTTGGGATGCCCATCCACATCCCATATCTGAGTGCCTGGTTCAAGTCCTGACTGTTCCACTTCCAATCCAGCTTCCTGCTAATGTGCCTGGGAGGCAGCAGATGGTGGCTCAAGTATTTGGGCCCCTGCCACCCATGTGGCAGAATGAATGGAGTTCCTGGCTCCTGACTTCAACCTAATCCAACCCTGGCTGATGTCAGAGGGTAAACCAGCACATGGAAGATCTCTCTCTCTCTCCCTCTTGCTCTTGCTCTAGATTTCCAGCATATGAAATATACATATTTATATATATATATGTATACATACGCACACATACACACACAAAAAGTGAACTTCCCATTGTTTCTGGTCTGTAGGTACTAGTGAGCTAGTTTGTCCTGAACGCTCAGGATCTGTCATCAGATTCATGTTTTGGGGAGCAACTGAGACTAGACTAAGTTACTGGAATTAAGACTTATTCTATGCATCTGCTCTCCCACAATATGGCGCTGGGGAGGAGTAAACTTCTACGCAGCTGCCTCTCGCTAATTTGACTGATGAGCTGCAGGAGCTGATCCTGCTCCTAATTGGAGAGCAGAGTGCTCAGCGTGTGGGCAGCAGAGTTGGGATTGGTGGAAGAGGACTATAAAGGAGGAGAGAGACAACATGCACCAGGAACATCTGAAGGAACATCTGAGCAGCCCCCGAGAGAGCTGGCTGGCGGTGTGCCGCTCCTCCACGGAAGCGGGGAAAGTGGCAGGGGGGCCGCCCCTCCACGGAGGTGGAGGGGTCGGCAGCCAACCCGGGAAGGACCAGCAGCAAACCCGGGAAGGGCCAAGCAGGCGAAAGAACAGCGCAGGGTTTAGTGTCGTTCCTCTGTGAGATGGGGGAGCGACACATGTCACAGCATCTTGGACCTAAAAGAGATCTCACAGTAGGGTGGGCCCTCCCTGGTGCTCCTTCCTGCACCTGTCTTCACCTCCAGGAGACAGACACCAATGGTGGCAGGTGTTTCACTCACCAGCTCCTGCAGGGAACCAAAGCTAGGAGCTGGGAATGCAATCCAATTCTCTCACATGGGTGGCAGGAACCCCAGTGCTTGATCGATTACCACAGCCTCCCAGAGTCGGAAGCTGAAGGTAGTGTTCTGATGTGGGACATGGATGCCTTAACTAGTAGACCAAATGCCTGCCCCCTATTTTGACTATTATTAAGTGTACAGTTCTGTGGCATTAAGTATATTTAAATTATTTTAGAATCATCATCACCACCTATCTGTAGAACTTTTTTATCATCTCAAACTGAAATAACATAGCCATTAAACAACTCCCATTCTCTCCTCACTCCAGCCCCTGGTAGCCACTATTCTACTTTCTGTCTCTATGGATTTGACTACTGTATGAATCTCATACAAAATGGCATCATACAAGACTCATATTTGCCCTATGTCTGGCTTCTTTGACTTAGCGTGAAATTTGCAAGGTTCATGTTGCAGCATGTATCAGAATTTCATTCCGTTTTAATCAGCTTTACTTTATTACCTCCTATAAATGAGAATGCTCAGACAATAAAACATATCCCTTATTATCCTGAAGATACCATTTGAAAAAAATACCATTGGCTCTACTGTGAAGATCAAACATGAAATCATCTGCAAATGAAAAGATTTGTTGTTGAGATTTATACATTATTCCATTTTTTACCATGATAGCTACATCCCATGGAATTCAGGGCTAATAGAATTCATGGCTGAGGAACAGAAGATCTTGTGTGAAAAGGAAATGAAATAATGAACGAAGCCACCAAAGTCCTTATACATATTCATCTTGACTAAAATTAAACCAGTGAAGACAATGCACCAAATGGAAGAGTCCATGGCACTTCCCAGATGTCTGTTGTGTCTCACGACCCTTGCTGTAGGGAAACCAGGGCAGCCGCAACAGGACTTGGAATGATATTTGCTTCAGGTTCACGCAAGGTGAAATTGTTGACACTGTGGAGCAAGATGTAAATCTATGTGTGAGGCCTAGTATTCCTCTTAAGGGCTAACCTGTTTCCATAAGGGATTGTTATGTCAACAGAGCTGTGGGATCCTCATGCATGAGCAGGCGAGGGAAGCACCTGCCACCATTGGTGTCTGTCTCCTGGAGGTGAAGACAGGTGCAGGAAGGAGCACCAGGGAGGGCCCACCCCACTGTGAGATCTCTTTTAGGTCCAAGATGCTGTGACATCAATCTGATGACAGATCCTGAGTGTTCAGGACAAACTAGCTCACTAGGACCTACAGACCAGAAACAATGGGAAGTTCACTTTGTGTATATGCATATGTGTGTGTACATATATATGCATATATATTTCATATGCTGGAAATCTAGAGCAAGAGCAAGAGGGAGAGAGAGAGAGATCTTCATGTGCTGGTTTACCCTCTGATATCAGCCAGGGTTGGACCAGGCCAAAGCCAGGAGCCCGGAACTCCTTTGTGGGTGGCAGCCCTCTAAGTCTCTGAGCCATCACTGCTGCCTCCCAGGGTGCACATTAGCAGGAAGCTGGATTGGAAGTAGCAGAGCCAGGGCTCAAATGAGGCCAAACAGTATCTTAACCACCTGCAATGCCTACCCCTCGCCGTGTGGCACCTTCTGCTTCCAGTCTGCCGTCCCTGACAGCACCCACTGTGAGGCCCCACTAGAGCTTCACTAGATGCTAGCATCATGTTGTTGGACCTTTAGAGCTCTGGGCTAAATAAACCTTGCTTCTTTATACATTGCACAGGTATTTTGTTAGAGCAATGGCAAATGGACTAATATATGTTACACACAAAGCAGAGGGTCAGAGGGCAGTGAGTGTGCTAAGAGTATGGGATGGCACCTGCGGCCTTTGGGTGTTTAGCAGTCTTTGATTGGAAGCTCTGCTTTGTCACTTAGTAGCTGGGTGAGCTTTGAGCCTCCTGTGGCTTCGTCAGTGAAACGGAGCTAGTATACCTCGTTGTTGGAAGGATTAAATGAGATGCTGCAGGTGCAGCCCTTGTCACAGAGCCCAGTGTTTAGTGAGCGCTCAGTATGAGCTGGCTGGAGTAAGGAAGCAGAATGCACCAGAAAGAGCATAAACCACTCTGGGGCTTGGGCAGCTGGGGGCTGAATCCGGCTCTCCCACTCCCCATCTTTCTAGACTTGGACCAGTAACTTGACCTCTCCAGGTTTCAACTGTCTCATTTGTAAATTAGAGAAAATGGTAGTCCCAGCTCAGAGGGTTGAAGGATTATGTTTCCATCAATGAACATAAGAAACATGTTTGCCTTAGCTAGTGTATGAAGTGCTGAAAAACATGCCTAAGACATGGTAAGCATTGTTTATGTATGTTATGCATGTATGTATGCGTATATGTATGTACGTATTCAAAAGGCAGAGTGACAGAGAGAGGGAGGGACAGATAAAGAGAGATCTACTATCCATTGGTTCACTCTCTAAATGGAATTGGGCCAGGCCAAAGTTGGGAGCCTGGAACTCCACCTGGGTCTCCCAGGTGGGTGGCAGGGGCCCATGTACTCGGGAGCCAGCAGGGATTTAGCTAACACAACGGGAAACTGAATCAGAACTGGAGCAGCCGGGACACAGACTGGGGCCCTGAAACTGGCGACACCAGAGGCAGCTTATCCTGATGCACCACAACACTGGCCCCATGTAAGCATTATTTAAATGTCCTCTTTTATTATTATTTGGAGCGATTCTGGGATAATAAAAAAGAATAATAAAATAAATATAATAATAAGAAACGGTTTAATCATAAGGCATACACAAATCATGGGAAGCTCTTCCTAAGCCTCTGAGCATTTCCATTTAACAGGACACACAGCACAGGACCACTTGCCCAAAGATCAGCCAGCTTGCCCACCTTGCGTCTGACTCCAGAACTCTTACGTTACCCTGTTCTGCCCCCTACAACAGTCAGAAGCTGTTGCTCATGAAAATGCATGTAGAATACGATGCTAAGAAGTAAATGAATGAGCCTCTGGGAAGGAGGCCAATAGCTGAGACTGGAAGGAGGGATAAAGCAGTCATTGCATTGAGCATTAACTTAACACTAGACTTCCAGCAACCCAGCAAAGCAGAAAGCATAGCGTGTCACATGGTACCCCATTTTTGAAATGAAGCCCTGTGCCCCTTCCCTCACCCCGAACCTGGCACACTCCTTCTCCTTCATTCATCAGGGAACTCTAGAAACCATCTACGCTTGCCAGGCACTCTTCGGTTCTTCAAAAGACACACTTGTTCCTGACACCAAACTCTTTGCTAAAAAGACAGAAGGGTTTCTCACAGGCGGGACATTAGGCGACCGGTGCCACAATGTTTTCACGAAAGCAGATGCAGGAGCGGCATGCCTACAATCCAGGCGACAGCCTCTCATGTCAGTCCAGGGAGCAGAGGATTCAGTCCGTAGGCCTGGCAGGAGTAAGGAGCCGTGGATCACAGGGCTCTTCGCATGCCCGTCAATGGCTGTGGTTTAATCAATTGCGAATAACTAGTAACACGGTTGTGTCTAAAACTGTGCATCATTGAATGCTGCAATATGAACAAGAAATTATGGGTGAAGTTTAACTGTTTTCAAATGTAAAATTTTTAAATTCAATGTAATGAATTGATTTCTAATTTATTTGAAAGGCAGAGAAAGAGACAGACAGACAGAGATCTTACATCCTCTGGTTCACTCCAAATAGCCGCAATAGCCAGTGCTGAGCCAGGCTGAAGTCAGGAGTCGGGAACTCCATCCAAGTCTCCTACAGAGGTGGCAGGGGCACAAGTACTTGAGCCTTCGCCTGCTGCCTCCCAGGGTGCACATTAACAGTAAGCGGGAAGGGAGAGTGGAGCGGCACTCAAGCCCAGGCACTTTGCTATGGGATGTGGGCGTCCCAAGACACGATTTAACCTTTGCACCAAGCGTCCACCCTGAAATACTAGATTTTAGGAGCAGACCATCTGGGCACAACCCACAGGAAACAAGTGATCACAAAATAAGCTTACAGATGTGAGGACAGAGTTCTTCGCCATTTCCTTGTTTCTCAGAGGTTGTACCCAAAGTTTGGAGGTCAAAGCAGTCCCCAGGAAAGGAGGAACTGGCCAAGCTAGAGCAGAGGGAGCTGTGGGCTTGCTCTCCTTTGACTCTCTAGCATGGGAGAGGTCACCACTCAAACACCAGCCCCCTCCCATAGCAGGGGCCTTGCGCTGTGCCACAGCCTGCGTGTTCCGGTCCTCCCTCTGCTGTGGACCCATGGCAGTGGGCTAATGCGCTGGATGAATTTCCAAGACAGAGTAGCCAGCTGCAGCATCTCCCAGACTTCCATCAGGGAGAAATCCCTACTGGTAGCACATTCACTCCTGTCTCTAGAACAGGGTTCCTCAGGGCTCGCTCATCTGATCTAATGGGCATGGAACATACTCCCGGTACTGTGCTTGTATCTTGCTTTCTCTTTTAAACATTGTTTTTTCTTTCAACAAGTCCCTCTGCCTCACTGGCACTCTTTGTGCAAGAAGGTGTATTTGCATTTCAAAGTCTAACATTTCCCAATAACGGCCAAGTTCTGAAAACACATTTTCCTGTGATAAAAACCTTTCTGAGATTAGAAAACTAAACAGAAGTACAATGCTTTAAACAACTCCTAATTACCATGGAACTAGCCCTGAGAGACCCACAAGCACTTTTTTTTTTTTTTTTGACAGGCAGAGTGGACAGCGAGAGAGAGAGAGAGAGAGAGAGAGAGAGAAAGTCTTCCTTTTGCCGTTGGTTCACCCTCCAATGGCCGCCGCGGCTGGCCCGCTGCAGCCGGCGCATTGCGCTGATCCGAAGGCAGGAGCCAGGTGCTTCTCCTGGTCTCCCATGTGGTGCAGGGCCCAAACACTTGGGCCATCCGCCACTGCACTCCCTGGCCACAGCAGAGAGCTGGCCTGGAAGAGGGGCAACCGGGACAGAATCCGGCGCCCCGACCGGGACTAGAACCCATGGTGCCGGCGCCGCAAGGTGGAGGATTAGCTTAGTGAGCTGCGGCGCCGGCCACAAGCACTTATTTTTAAAATGCTCTTTGTGGAAGAATCCATCAGGCAAGCCGCATGCTACAGCCATGTCCATGGCCATCCAGATGCGGAGGTTAACAGGAAGTCGCTGCCGGGTCTGTGCCTTCCAGGAAGCCGCTCTTCTACTGAAGGTGACTTTCACAGATCAGTTCTGGGTGCATCTTAATTTCAACATTGCAGAGTGTTTCCAAAACTTCCTCAAAGATAAAAATTCCTGTTAAATAGTGAGAACTCTAATCCCTCCATGGGAATGCAGATTAAATGGATGTGGGATGGGCCCAGTAATGGGGGTTTTGTTTGTTTTCTTATATGCTCATTTGTTTTTGAACAAGGACTTTATGTCCTTATCTTTAAGGAAGTTGGGGGAGAATTTGACTAGGGACTCAGGGCCTCTCTGACTCCGCCACTCTGTAATTCCATGCTTCTGGGGTGGGAGGTCAGCCAGCGGCCCTCACTGGAAGCTACTGTAGTTATGATAAGAGCTTGAGAAAGTTTTCTTTTGTGGGTTCTTTCCCCTGGTGGGGTGGCACCTGGGGTGAGTTTTGTGCAGTAGATATCAACTTCTCCCGGGCCAACCTTGCGATAAGCCCTGTGGGAAACCACTCCAGTTGCTTTGTGCTTGTTAGAATTGTGAACATTGTCCCGCCTAACTCTTCTGATGTGTTCCCACTCAAGAAGTGTCCCCCACAGGGCGCCAGGGTGGGTCCTCCTCCCTCAGCCTCAGACCTATGACTTCCAACATCCAGCCGTGGCCTCAGAAACTCATCACTCCCGGAACCGCTCCTGAGGTAAGGAGTAGGGTGACCTGTGCTCAGACCTCAAACTCCCACAAGCACCAAGTCAAGACACACCCTCTCGTTTCTATGGAAGCCTGCGGCCCCACTGATGGTGACCCAATCTTTTCCAGGAACTGATTGGAAGAATGAGGACTTGTTTTCCAACCAGTCTTTTGTGAGAGAAGCTGAAGGCCAAAGGCTAAAATTCCCTGCAAGTTTAGCTTCTTGGAAACTCGAGGATATTCACAAACATAGTAATTTCTATCTCCATTTTTAAAATTTTTAAGTTCTGGGGCTGGCACTGTAGCGTAATGGGTAAAGCTGCCGCATAAGGTGCTGGCATCCCATGTGAGTGTTGGTTCGAGTCCTGGCTTCTCCACTTCTGATCCAGCTCACTGCTAATGTGCCTGGGAAAGCAGTAGAAGAGGGCCCAAGTATCTGGACCCCTACACCCATGTGGGAGACCATGAAGAAGCTCCTAGCACCTGGCTTCGGATGGGCCCATCTCTGGCCATTTTGGCTATTTGGGGAGGGAACTAGCAGATGGAAGATCTGTTTGTCTTTCTCTCTCTCTTTCTCTCTAACTTTGCCTTTGAAATAAATAAATGCATCCTTTATAAAGTTTTTAAGTTGTGGGGCTGGCGTTATGGCACAGCGGGTGAAGCCACCACCTGCAATGCTGACATTTCATAAGAGCACCGCTGGAGTCCCAGCTGCTCCACTTGCAATCCTGCTCTCTGTTAATGCACCTGGGAAAGTATTGCAGGATGGTCCAAGTGCTTGGGTCTCTGCCACCCACATAGCACACCCAGATGGAGTTCCAAGCTCCTGATTTTGGCCTCATCCAGTTCTGTTTTTTTGCAGCCATTTTGGGAGTAAATCAGCAGATATCTCCCTCTCTCACTGTCTCTGTCTCTGTCTCTCTCTCCCTGTGTGGGTGTGTCTGTAACTCTGCCTTTCAAATAAATAAATAATTTTAAAATGAAAAAATAAGTTGTCCCCATCTGTCCAAATCAGTGATTCATCAAGGAAGAAAGCAGCATGCTGTTTTGTTCATAGAAGACTTTGGTGTCTTTGAAAATGGTATTGGTCGGGGCTGGCACTGTGATGAAGTGGGTTAATGCCCTGCCTGAAGCACCGGCATCCCATATGGGCACCGGTTCGAGACCTGGCTGCTCCACTTCCTGTCCAGCTCTCTGCTATGGCCCGGGATAGCAGTAGAAGATGCCCCAAGTGCTTGGGCCCTGCACCCACGTGGGAGACCTGGAAGAAGCTCCTGGCTCCTGGCTTTGGATCAGCGCAGCTCTGGCCCTTGCGGCCATCTGGAGAGTGAACCATCGGATGGAAGACCTCTCTCTTCTCTCTGTGTAACTCTGACTTTCAAATAAATAAATAAATCTTTAAAAAAAATTTTTTTTAATTCCATTAAAAAAAAAGAAAGAAAATGGTATTGGTCAGGGTGGGAGTTTTGTGCAGCAGCTAAGAAGCCACTTGGAATGCTCCCATCCCATATCCAATTCCCAGCCTTGCTCTCCATTCCAGCTTCCTGCTAACATGCCCTGGCAGGCAGCAGGTGATGGCTCAAGTAGTTGGGTTCCTGCCACCCATTCAGGCCACCCAGATTGAGTTCTGGGCACCTGGCTGTGGCCTGACCCAGACCAGGATATTGTGGGCATTTGAGAGTGAGACCGCAGATGGGAGCTCTCTGTCTTGTCTCTCTGTATCGCTGCCTCTATATGATACTGGTAAGTGTGAAAGAAAAGAATTGACACCTGGGAAAGGAAATGTAGATGTAAGATTGCTGAAGTTAAGTGAAAACCTTGAAGTACTGAATTTGAAATGGAAATATCAGTATGAACCCATGTTACATTTTATCTTAGAAAATGGGGGGCTGGGCCAGTGCCGTGGCTCAATAGGCTAATCCTCTGCCTTGCGGCGTTGGCACACCGGGTTCTAGTCCCGGTCGGGGCGCTGGATTCTGTCCCGGTTGCCCCTCTTCCAGGCCAGCTCTCTGCTGTGGCCAGGGAGTGCAGTGGAGGATGGCCCAAGTGCTTGGGCCCTGCACCCCATGGGAGACCAGAAAAAGCACCTGGTTCCTGGCTTCGGATCAGCACGGTGCGCCGGCCGCAGCATGCTGCCCGCGGCAGCCATTGGAGGGTGAACCATAGGCAAAAGGAAGACCTTTCTCTCTGTCTTTCTCTTTCACTGTCCACTCTGCCTGTCAAAAATAAAAAATAAATAAAAAATAAATAAATAAATAAATAAATAAATAAATAAATAAAAGGTATGTAGGCATATCAGTTTGAGTCCTGGTTGCTCAACTTCCAATCCAGCTCTCTGCTATGGCCTGGGAAAGCAGCAGAAGATGGACCAGGTACTTGGGTCCCTGCGCCCACATGGTAGATCCAGAAGAAGCTCCTGGCTCATGGCTTTGGATTGGCCTAGCTCCAGCCGTGGTGGCCATTAGAGGAGTGGACTAACAGATGGAAGACCTCTCTCTTCTCTGCCTCTGCCTTTCTGTGACTCTGCCTTTAAAATAAATAAATAAATCTTAAAAAAAATGGGGGAGAAGGGGTTTGCTGGCATTGTAGAGCAGTGGTTTAAGCTGCTGCTTGCGATGCCAGCACCCCCATCAGTGTGTCACTTTGAGTCCTAGCTATTCTGCTTCCATTCCAGTTCTCTGCTAATGTGCATGGAAAGCAGCAGATTATGGCTCAAATACTTGAGTTCCTGCCACTCAGTAAATGAAAGAAAAGAATCAAGCACTGGGGCTCTTCTCTTGTACAGTCTGATTTTTAGCCAGAGAATGGGTTAGCAGATGCTTCCCTTTATAAAATATTTCAGCTAAATGAATGATAGAGAAATGATACAATTTGACTCTTGCCAACGTATTTTTCCTAATGGATCTATATAATTATTATCCATAGCTGTTAATATCACACAAGGGGGCCCAGATCTGTGGCTCAACGGGTAAAGCCACTGCCTGCAGTGCTGGCATCCCATATGGGCGCCGGTTTGTGTCCCAGCTGCTCCACTTCTGATCCTGCTCTGCTGTGGCCTGGGAAAGCAGCAGAAGATGGCCCAAGTCCTTAGGCCCCTGCACCCGCATAGGAGACCCAGAAGAAGCTCCTGGCTTCGGGCTTCAGATCAGTGCCGCTCCAGTCATTGCTGCCAGTTGGGGAGTGAACCAGTGGATGGAAGACCCCTCTCTCTCTCTCTCTCTCTCTACCTCTGCCTCTCTGTAACTCTGCCTTTCAAATAAATAAATCTTTAAAAAAAAATCACACAAGGAAGGAAGCAGCCAGACATTAAGTACCTCCTGATGGAAGGACACATCATCTATGAAGCGTACTCGCCAAAACAAGTTCTGATTGATGTCTGATCAGGTCTCCAGATCTAACTACAAACTTACAGGATATACAGGAGTCAGACAAAGATGAAATCAGAAAGATACAGACTCTATGGGAAACTCTCTAAGGCACTGACCCAGTTTCTCCAATGATTAAATTGGGAGGAAAAAGAGGAGGTAGGGGTGGCATGTGGATTAAAACAGACTTAAACTGTCAACTATACAATATATAGATTTTATTTGGATCCTGATTTTAACTAAATAGTATAACAATTATAAGGCAGGAATTTTAAACACAGACTATATATATATATATATATATATACACAACAACATTAAGAACTATTGATATTTTAGTGATGGAATAGTTCTGGTTATGTCAAAATATTTCTTACATTTTAAAGACACACATATTCATGTATAAATTACATACTGCCTGAGATTAAAAAACAAAACAAAACAAAAACCTTAAATAGAATCGATCCTTTTCTATCTTGGAAGGAATTTCCTGTCTTTACCTCCCACACTCTTGGAAGGCGACCAAGGAAGTCGTCTTCTTTGTCTTCCCCTCCCCGCAGTGGGATGAGTTGCATATGAAGGTGGCAGGAGCAGGGGTGACCCTGCTGTCACTCACCTCATACTGAAGCCTTTACAAATAAGTGAACCAATGAGACAGCCAAAAGCAACTTTCCTGACACAGCATTACTGCACGGTTGCTGGGTAAAGGGGGGCCACAGAGGACCGTCAGATTCCAGACACACAATTTTCTTGCCTGTCTTCATCTGCAACTCAGACCCTCTTCACGTTTCCTGCAGAGACCAGAGGGAAGCTCCTGGGCCGGGGCCAGCACCTCCCCCTTTTCGGGACTGGCCTCTTTCTTCCTGTTTCTTTAAAGGATTGGAGAAGAGCAGAAAAACCTGGAAAACATAATGCACCTCTGACAGAAATAGAAAACAAGCATTCTGTGTCGATTTCTCACAGACACTGAGGCCAAACGCTCGTTTATTTTGAGATGTGTGGGAGAATCTTTGTTAGGTACCCAGCCCGCACATCAGGGAGACAACAGGATATGCTGCAGTGAGGTTGTAAACAGACTCCAATCCCTTGGGCCACCCTGCCTTTAATTCCTGTGCTCTGCCCCATAATGGAATTACAGGGCCTGAATCCTAGACCTCAGAAGGTTTGCAAAATTTCCTTCTTCACACAGTCCTGGAATTCCTTATGTACACAGACGCAACAGAAACAAAACCAAATTCATGACAAATGACTTTCCAAAAAAAATCTTGCCATAAAACAAGCATTTTTCTGAACAGGAAGAATAACAGACTCAAACAAAGCCACCCAGATCGCTTCCCTTGCTTGCTGAGCTGTGGATCTTTGCTCTACACCCCGAGTCTTGATCCACGGTGCCCTCTATTAATTTGCTGGTGGATTTGAACCAAATCTGATTTCCGTCCTTTCCATAGAAGCTCCAGTCTCTCCTGAGAGAAAGGGCCTAGGCTGAGGAAGTTGCAATAGAAACAAAAAATGTGTTAACACCTGGCAAAAAGTGCTGAGCAAATTATGCCAAACCTTAAACCTGCTTTGGGTTAATGCTTGTAGCTTCCTCTGAAGTGACTGCTCTTGTTTTCCCCATTTCATAGATGAAGAAGCTAAAATGGGTTACAACTAGTAAGAAGCCAAGTTTCTGTGAGACTCCAGAGCTCAAGTCTAAAATCACTGAGATAAATCTCTTTTATCGGCTGGTCTTTGGAAGGACGTTCTATTTTAAAAGGGGCAGAACAACACAGGGAAGATGCGAAGGCAGTAAGACATAGCAAGAAAGGGTACAGGTTGGTGCCACTCCGGGGGGGGGGCTGTCCATGTTATAGTTTGGGAATAGCATTCTTGAGGTTGAGCTGGGCACTGGCTGCATGGATGTTTCCTGAATGACCATGGGCTTTGAAGTTTCAATGAGCTGTGATCTTTGACCTTGAGGAAGTAGCTTGGGATTGCCAACCAAAGCAGAACAGGCAATGCTGCTAAAACGTCTGCAACTTCGGTAGCTATTGCACTGGCTGTGAATTCAGATTTATGAATACTGTACCCTGACAGCAACTTCCTGGGTTGAAAGAGCCAGTATGTTCCTCCTGGCATAAATCACTTTGAATGGCTTTTTGTTTGTTTGTTTCTTTTAAAGGCAGAGCAATAGAGAAAGAGAGAGATCTTCAATCTACTGACTCACTCCCCAGATGCCCACAACAGCCAGGACTGGGCCAGGCTATAGCCAAGAGCCAGGAACTCCATCCAAGAATCCCATGTGGGTGGCAGAAACCCAAGTCCTGAAGCCATCATCTGCTGCCTCCCAGGATGCACATTAGGAGGAAGCTGGATCAGAAGCAGAGGTGAGGCTGTATCCCGGGCTCTCTGACATGGGATGTACCTATCTTCTTTATAAAGTTAGTCTGCCTCAGATATTTGGCTACAGTAATGAAAAATGGACTAATACACAACCCTAATACAAGGACTACCCAATTCTATCTCCAACCCCATCCTCTCCTCCAGCTCCAGACTCTGTATCTTTCTTGCCATCTCCACTTGGGACCCTGAAAGTTAATATACTTTAAGGTGGAGCTCAGGTTTCCCACTCTGACCTGCTTCCTCCAGTCTTCCCTAATCCCTAATCAGAAACACCCATTGCTCAAGTCAAAAGTCTATAGGGCTGGGGGTGGGGTGGGGGTGGGGGGGTGGTCAGTGCTGTAGCATAGTTGGTTAAGCTGGTTCAAGTCCTGGCTGTTCTACTTCCAATTCAGCTCTCTGTTAACTGCCTGGGAAAGCAGTAGAAGATGGACCAAGTTGCTCAAGCCCTAGCTCCCATGTAGGAGACCCAGCAGAAGCTCCTGGCTCTGGTCCAGCTCTGGCAATGTGGCCATTTGGGGAGTGAACCAGCAGATGAAAGATCTCTCTCTCTCTCTCTCTCTCTCACTGTCCACTCTGCCTGTCCAAAAAAAAAAAAAAAAAAAGTCTACAACGAATCCCTGTTTCTATTTCTTTCTTTCTTTCCTTTTTTTTTTTTTTTTAAAGAGTTATTCATTTATTTGAAACACAGAGTTAGAGAGACAGAGTAGGAAATAGAGATCCTTCATCCGCTGGTTCATTCCTCAAATGACCACAGTGTTTGGGGCTTGGCCAAGCCAAAACCAGGACACTGCAACTCCATTTGGTGCTCCCAGGTGAGTGGCAAGAGCCCAAGGACTTGGGCCGTCTTCTATTGCTTTCCCAGGGCATTAGCAGGGACCAGGATCAGAAAAGGAGCAGCCAGGGCTGGAACTGGCCCCCATATGGGATGCCAGTGCTGCAGTTGGTGGTTCAGCCTGCTGCACCACAACACTGGCCCTTGTCTCTTTTATATCCAATTTAAATGTAAGTCATATTATAGCGGGGATCTTGGACAGAAACGTGGGACACCAAGACTCTTAATGGGAAAATAGCTTTTATTCTTGCCTGTAGTACCAAAGGATTTGTACCTACAGTCTGAGCTCCAAACAAAGCAAGGTGCTGTCTTATAAAGCCTGGAACAAACAACTCTAAGTTTCCTTTTACATATTGGTTCCACACTTTTGATTGGATAGGTGAAAGCTACAACACTGCGTATACAACTGTTACACAAAGTTATACCTGTGTGCATTAGATTTTTCTTTTGCTGACGTGGTTGCAATTGTAGTATGTCTCAGAAAGCTCTTTCCACCCGTTTCCAGAAAGCCCCTGCTGTCCTACTGTTTTTTGCCTTTAGCCAGCTTTTTTCTACCTAAGGGGAGGGGTCCCTCTGACCTTCAACATTTAACCTTACTGTGAGCTATGCTTGCGTCCTCTGGCTGTATAGTGTCTACGTTAGTGACTTTCATGAGTCATATTTTTATTCAGCCAATGTTACAAACTGTTTGTTTTCCCAACCAAAATTCATGCATTGACAGTAAGAGGAAGTAGGGCTTTTGAAAGTTGATTAGGTCACAGGGATGGAGCCCTCACGAATGGGATTCAAGCCCTTATGTGAAACACCCCAAAGGGCTCCCTTGCCCCTTCAACCATGTGAGGACCCAGCCAGAAAACAGACACCTATGAGCCACATGCCCTCATCAGCCAGCAAATCTGTTGGCACCTTGGTCTTGGACTTCCCAGCTTCCAGACCTCTGAGAAATAAGCTTCTGTTCTTTATAAGTTTTCAGTCTCAGGTATTTTGTTATTGCAGCCCAAATGGACTAAAATACCCAGAGAAATTTTGTCTTTCAGTATGTGGGTTCTGGTTTTTCTTTTAAAACAATGTCTTTAGGAATAGGCCCTGAATACTAATGTACTTTGATTGCTCTCAATTTCAATTCAATATAAACACTTAATCCTAGTGCTGTCTTTTTTTTTTTTAAGATTTATTTATTTATTTGAAAGTCAGACTTACACAGAGAGAGGAGAGGCAGAGAGAGAGAAAGAGCAGTTTTCCATCTGATGGTTCACTCCCCAACTGGCCGTAATGGCCAGAGCTGCACAAATCTGAAGCCAGGAGCTTCTTCCGGGTCTCCCACGTGGATGCAGGGTCCCAAGGACTTGGGCCATCTTCTACTGCTTTCCCAGGCCATAGCATAGCTGGATTGGAAAAGGAGCAGCCGGGTCTCGAACTGGTGCCCATATGGGATGCCAGCACTTCAGGCCAGGGTGTTAACCCACTGTGCCACAGTGCCGGCCCCACCTAGTGCTGTCTTGATCACAACCATCTTGAAGGAGTTTCTCTCGTCTCATTCCATTCACGCCATTTCTAGTTCTGCAGTAACCATCCCTTCACCCCCCAAAAAATCAGCTACTGACACCTTATTGATAGCACTCTTGATAAGGACATAGTTCTCAATTGCTGAATCCAAAGGCCTATCTCTAGGCCTGATTGTATCAGACCACCCCACTCACTGGTAATTGCTGTTCTTTGCTTCACTGTGGCCCCTGCAGCTCCTGGCACCTGTAATGCTTCCTGTACTGCTCGGGCTGGAATGCGTCGGACTTCTTTGTGATTGTCCTCACAGATTCCACTCTTGATCTCTTCTCATTCTTCACTAATGGTCCTTTCCTTTCCTTTCCTTTCCTTTCCTTTCCTTTCCTTTCCTTTCCTTTCCTTTCCTTTCCTTTCCTTTCCTTTCCTTTCCTTTCCTTTCCTTCCCCTTTCCTTTCCTTCCCCTTCCTTCCCCTTCCCCTTCCCCTTCCCTTTCCCTTCCTTCCTTCCTTCCTTCCTTCCTTCCTTCCTTCCTTCCTTCCTTCCTTCCTCTTGCTGGTTCACTCTCCAAGTGGATGCAACAGACAGAGCTGGACCAATCTGAAGCCAGGAGCCAGGAGCTTCTTCTGGGTCTCCCATGTGGGTAAAGGGGCCCAAGCACTTGGGCCACCTTCCACTGCCTTCTCAGGTACATTAGCAGGGAACTGGTTCAGAAGCAGACCAGCTAGCACTTGAACTGGCATCCATATGGGCTGCCAGCGCCACAGGCGGCAGCTTTACCTGCTATGCATCAGGGCTGGCCCCTCTCCCGCAATGGTTTTTTTTTTTTTTTTTTGACAGGCAGAGTGGACAGTGAGAGAGAGAGACAGAGAGAAAGGTCTTCCTTTTTGCCATTGGTTCACCCTCCAATGGCCACCACAGCCGGCGTGCTGCGGCCAGTGCACCGTGCTGATCCGAAGTCAGGAGCCAGGTGCTTCTCCTGGTCTCCCATGGGGTGCAGGCCCAAGCACTTGGGCCATCCTCCACTGCACTCCCTGGCCACAGCAGAGAGCTGGCCTGGAAGAGGGGCAACCGGGAAAGAATCTGGCACCCCGACCGGGACTAGAACCTGGTGTGCCAGCGCCGCTAGGTGGAGGATTAGCCTAGTGAGCCACGGCGCCAGCCCCACAATGGTTCTTAAACTTC